CACCAGAGAGGTCCAATATGCCCCACTTGTGCTATTTCATACATGGCAATACGGCTCAGTGAGATCTGTGACCTCATGCCTTGAAATAGCTGAGGAGGAAGGGTGTTTTAAAATTGTTAGGGGTTTTAAAAACTATTAAAAGAAAATCTCTGCTTTTTTTAAGACCTCTTGATTTTTCGTCAGAAAGCTAAAAATCCCAAACTCCAAAACACAAACGTTTTCAGCTAAGAAGTGAAAAATTTTCAATTTGCAGGGGGTTTGGATTTTCAAGAAAAACTCCCAATTTTCAACAAACCTCCTCCTCCCCCATTTCCAGGGGATAGGTATTGGACATCTAACATTCTCTGAACACGGATCATCATTTATGGAGGTAGTTTTGGAAAGCTTGGGCAGAATTACACCAGTGCCATTCATTGACATATGCAGCACATCATAGGAAATAATAACAGAATAGATTCTGGCATTTCCCAGTTCACATTCTTCATGGGCGTGTCAGCTTTAAAATGGCATCTGCTCTGTCACAAGGTTCCAAGCTGTTCCAGAAGTAATCATTTCCATCCTGTTAGCAGGATTTTGCTGTTGCAAAGTTGTATTGTCCCAGGGGTTTTTTTTTCCACCTATCTGAGCAGATCAGTCAATTGTCTGGAGTTCAGGGATAAATTCCATCATTCAAACGTGATTCCTGTCTTTCATATATCTCAGAAAATACCCCAAAGCTGCACTTTTACTTCAACTGGAAACAGAACATCCCCAGAATGTCTCGGTTATAGCCAGCAGGTGGTGCCTGTTCCTTTGTTTTAATCAGAATAAAAAACCAAGAGATTGCAGTTGTGGAGGATGAGGATGGGGTGGGCAGATACTGCTGTATTGTTAGAGGTGCCATCAGTCAAGGGGGTGATTAAACTTAAGACCATGCTGCCCATCTCTGGTGGGATATCCCACTGTCAGCTCAAATGTTCGTGGTACTTTTTCCCAACCCAAGTGCTCTGGCTAACACTTTTGTCTGTCCCAGGTGGTTTGTGTGATGTTCTGTTAGATGGTATGTTGCTGCTCAGTTTAGCCATGGATGCTGGTTCTGGATGCTAATCCGTTCTGGCTGGATTATGAAGCATTCAGCACCTATTTAGGTACCTAAAAGACAGTTAGTCTTTCAGAAAAGCTTGAGGGGTGTGTTGTTATGAGCACTGAAAATCTGACCCACAATCCCAGGATTGCCTTAATCTTTGTGTTTAATACATTTAAAGGAGTCTCTCCAAAGGGTCCAATTTTGCAACATTTGCTCACATA